AGTCTTACTCTGTAAAAGAAGACTGCTCATTTGTTCCCAGCCGCCCAGACCCAAATCATCACACAGAAACTGTATTAATTACGAAACTGCTTGGCCTAGTAGCTCAGAATTTTTATTAATTAACTCTTACATCTTGACTTAACCCATATTTACTAATCTCTGTATTGGTATGAGGCTGTGGCTTACTGATAAGGATCTGGCGTCTGTCTCCTTCAGCAGCTACATGCATCCTTTTGACTCTACCTATTCTCTCTATATATCTCTGTTTGGATTGCCCGCCTGACTTTACTCTGCTAAGCCATTGGCCAAAATAGCTTCTTTATTAAACAATAGTAATAAAGCATGCAGAGAAGAATCCCACATCATTATTCTGATATGGGACTCTTTGGGGCCTACTACCTCAATGTTCTATCAATAGAGGGTGTTGCATCATAATCGCTCAAAACATGGGCATGAAGCTTGTCTTCAAGGTTGGAGAAGAAAGTGAAACTTGGAGACCGGAAATAACTTGTGCACATGCTGTTTATTTAGGTTTGGGCAGGGCTTAGACTAGAAAGCAAGGCACTTGTGTTTTGTTTTCTGGCTTTGTACTTTTCTCCTTGGTTAGTGGTCTAATTTATAAAGGGCAATTAATGACAGATTTCGTCCAACCATTTGGGATAATTCAAGGAACATAGCTGAGGAATCTAAAGGAAAAAATTACATTAAAGATCATGAATCAAGAAAGCATAACCTTTATTTAATCGGCAACATCTATGCATTCCACGAAGATTTCAGCTTCCAGGGGGACACACAAGGAAGAAAGAAGAAATAGGTCCCTGTGCATCCAGGGAATTTACCAGAAGCAATCATAGCAATTAATATGGAACGAAGATAATAACAAGTTCCTCTTCCCAAGTTAATATTAATCTTCTTATCCTGAATGTCTTTGCTCTGGGTCCAAAGAGGCCTCCTTTTCCATAGTCAGAACAGCTACATGCAATGATTGACAGATGCAGAGAGTACAGCAAACTGCCCCAACTCAGGGCACCTCATGCCCATTCGAGAGCTCCCTGAGATATACCCTGACATCTTTGTAGTGATTATATCAGGATTCATCTTCTCCCACTGCCCAAGCCTGAGTCTGTCACTCTGCCTTGAGTGTTTTTCCTGAGAACACTCCCCAATCAATTTGCATTGTGCAAATCAGCTCAGGGATTTGGATGGGCAAAAAAACCTGTTTAATGCAAACGTTTCCACTTAACACCTGTCAGCTACTTAAAATAGCTCTCAAGCTGATTAAACAGCAGAGCACTGTGCTCTTGTTTAGCCACCACTGCCAAGGAGGAAGAGGACAACATCGGGGATCCAGTTAACATCATCATAGCAATGTTTCTTATACTCAGGAACTAGTGACGGAGCTAAGGAGGGTTTCTCATCCCATCCCTTGTCCATAGCTATAAAAATCCAAAGATGGCCCAATTCTCAAAGGAACAATAACTAAGCCTCAATGCCTACAGCAGCCACAACATCAGGACTTCTCAGAGGTCCTGTTGGAAAATAAAGTTTTCTTAGAAATCAACTCATGGGGTCAGTAGTTTCTTGTAGCACTGACATAGTTGGAGTTTACTGTGTATTAAATTAATTTTGACCTCCTTTATTGAATGAGCTCTTCAGCATTGCCTATGGGGTAGAGTACATATGGACCCAATTTGACAAATACAGAGGATTTAGCAAATTGCTCATGGCACACTGCGAGTAAGTGGAGCAGCAAGTTTTTAAATCCAGCAGTCAGCACTAAGACTGCAGAGGTCTGAACTTTACCCTCACACCATACACACATGGTACTTTCAGAGAGCTATGCTCTTATTTATAGACAAAACATGCAGAGTTAACGATGATGTTGCTGAAAGATGATGAGAGAATCACCAAGCTACTAGAGTAAATTACGGGCCCACAGAAGGTCATCTAGGAGGTCCACAAAGCACTCTCAGCAGCATCTTAGAAAAAAGAGCTAGAGCTGGCAATACTGTCCAGAGTCAGTTTCTCTGAGTCTGACTATAGTGGGTTCTATTGCTATTGCATAGTTCCTGTTTGGCTACGTAGAAAAAACCTTCTAATTGTTTACAATGACTATCTAACTCGATAATATACTCTATCATCAGATATATATATATATCAGTAAAGGCTCAATTTCCTGTATCTGATGAACAAAGCTAGGTATCCTGGAGACACAAAATGAGAATAGTTCTAAGACTTGAGTGGTGAGGCAGAAGGATCGTAAGTTCAAGGTCAGCTAGGCTATGTGGCAATACCCTGTCTCAAAGAAAGAAGAAAAAGGAGTAGGGAAAGTGACTTAGAAGGGACCTCATTTGCTCCTCCTGAACTCAGAAGAGGTTACTGTATATTCAGAGAAAAGCAATCTACACAGGGTGAGTGTGAGTCCAATTGGCCAGTTTGTTTTTAAATAAGGGTATGTATACTGTATGAAATAAAACAAAATTGGCCAAGTTTCCTTCGTCGTCTACTTTCCCTTTTTATTTTTATGTATAGAACTGTCACACCATGATAGTACATACTGAAGATTCCAACTTGGTTGTCTTTGAAGGTGGAAAAGCAAATAAGAATACTCTGTGGACACGATAGTGGGTAATTTTCAAACTAATGCATGTTGAAATTGACCCCTAAAAGGAAATTTCACTTTAGTCTGTTGAAGGAAGCTAGGACGTCTCACTTGCCTAGACCTATCATTTTAATCCAAGGCTCTTTTTGTCCTCAAAGCCATCATTTATGAGCACAGTGTAAGACTGGGTGCTTCCCTGGCTTATGAAATACTCTGCATTATTCACTCAGGGCACAGCTGGGGCAACCGCTGTACTGTCCCAGAAACGCACACGCTGGGAAGATTAGATACCCAAGTTCCCTGTGATTGAAACAAAAAACTTTGATCTCAGGAATTGTGTTATCTGGTACTTTGTAGGATCCATAATCTTAAAGAAAAAAATAGTTTCCAATGAATTAATAATGGCTTGAGTCCCAACCCGCTACACCAATTTTCACTGCAGTGGTTGTGTCTTTTATAGTCACACTTGATTAGTGTTTGAAATATGGAGGAAATGCAATATGCATGGCTTTCAAAGCCCTTTACAGAATTTCATTTTATCACTCAGAGAGAGTCAATGAAAACGTAATAAGAAAAGCTCTATGGGATATTTTTATAGAAGTGTCAGAAGCCAGTAAGCTAACTACTTGAAAGAACTCAGATAGTACAGACAGGGTTGGGAGCAGAAACACTTCAGAGACTTTAGATCCAGTATTTTGTCTTTTATATGTCCTTGGAGAAAAAAAAAAATCATATGCACTACAATATCAAATAAGGAAGGGAGGGAGGAACAAACCATATGCTTAAGAATAATTAATTTCAATTTTCCTATGAACTAAATGCGAAGTTTTGAAGATAAGTGTCATAGGAACTGAGCTGATTTGCTGTGTCTAAAAAATTGCCAAAAAAGGAGAAAATCCTCATTTCCCTTGCAAAGACATGCCAGAGTCCCACCATATGGAAGTGAGTCTGGTTACTTAGTTGATTATGATTAGTCCCGCACAACTTTATTTGATCTTGTTTTGCCTTCAGCAGAGATGGAAAATACCACATCACCTTCCCTACAAACTAAACCACCATAATTCAAGACTGCATTTGATTAGTAATATAATTTTTAATATTTTTACTAATTCTTTGTGACTTTATAGTATGTATTTTACCACATTTGCCCACAATTCATTCCTTTAATTCTTTCCAGATCATCTCTACATTCCTACTCACTCCAAATTGATGTCTTTTTCTTTTTTTCCATTTCTAAATTTATTTTCAGAGTAACCTATTGACTCCAATTTGTGCTGTGCATTTAGTCCTGGGTATGGAACCGTCCAGTGGAGGATAGGGTGGTCGATCTACCAGAAGCTATACCCTTAAAGAAAACTAATTCTTCCTCCTCCAGAAGTTATCATCTGTCCAAGGCTCCATGAACCTCTTACACTGCATGCTAAACTGAAGATGAGCTTGGTCCTTGTGCAGCTCTTGTACAGACAGCAACCACCACTGTGAGTTTACAAGCACAGTCACACTGTCATGTCCAGAAGACACTTGCTCTGATCCTTTTCAACCTCTGGGTCTCACCATCCTTAATCTCCATGATGATCCCCGAGCTTCCTAACAAAAGACATGGATATCTCATTTGTGTCTGAGTCCTCCTCGGTCACTTCTTTTCTGCATGTTGACTATGAGTCTGTGTTTAGCCATCATACACTGAATGAAGAAACTTCTCTGTGGTAAGGTCTGAGCATTGGTTGAAATTCAGTTACCATCAGCTCTTTCAACCCCCCCAAAAAAAACTTTCTTATTCATCTAGTAAAAATATAGAATATTGTGATTGGGGCTAGGGAGATGGCTGTCAGAAAATTTTCTTCTGCAAGGCATGAGGACCTGAGTTTAGAGTCTGGGCAGCCACATAGAAAGGCAGGAACATTGATGTGCTTCAGTAACTCCAGGGTTGAAGGCAGCAGAGACAGGAAGGTCCCTGGCTAGCCAGCCAGCCTGGATGAATTGATGAGATCCAGGTTCAGAGAGAGGCCCTGCCTCATAAAGTTGGAGAACTCCAAGAACTTTTTAGTGCTTGAGTACTTGAGTGTTGTTCTCATAGAGGACTCAGGTTCTCTCAGTACCTATAGGATGAATATAATTCTCTGTACTTCCAATCTCTGGAGATCTGACTCTTTCTTCTAGCCTTCCAGATTCTGAATGCATGTGATACACAGATAAACATGCAGGCAAAACCCATTTACATAAAATAAAAAGATATGTCTTGAAAAAGAAAAATAAAGAAAAGCCCCAAGGAAGATCCGCAGCATTGGCCTCTGATTTCTACACATGGGCTGTGTATTCCAAACAATATGGAAGCAAGAAATTCTGCATCGTCCCCTTGTCAGGTAGGTAGGTAACAATAGTGGATGGCTTAACTGACCTGCAATCACCTTGTTGCTTGCTACTCCAGTGGCCCCTGCTTGTTCTTCTGCCTCTCCACATCAACCAGATCATTTCGAAAACCCACTGGTATTCTTGAATCCAGGCCACCTTGAGCTGGGCGAAGTTTCTTGACTCTATCTGCATGGTGACTCTGAAATGGCAAGCACATGTAAATTATCAGCCCCAAATAAATGCCTGTTAGAGAAATGACAAGGGTAAACATTTATGATATGGCTGAAAGAGAAGTCTCTATACACCAAATCAAGCTATAAATTATGTTTATTGATATAGTTTAGGAATCTAGGTGTGAGAGTTCTGAGGTAGTCAAATGATTAGAATAAAAAGGTTGCTTAGCTTGGGGTTTTGTGGGAATTCTAACAGTGAGAGCGGGGACACTCTTACCCAGTTGTTATCTTGATAATCAAGCAACACAGTACTCTGTCATTTATTACATAATTAAAAATCAATTCTGCATTAGTTTTATTCTTCTTTAAAATTGATTTTTATTTTAAAAATTTATATGTACAAGTGCTTTGTCTGTATGTATGTGTGTATATCACCTGCATGCCTGGTACCCACGGAGACCAGAAGATGGCACTGGATCCCCTAGAGCTAGAGTTACAGACAGTTGTGAGAGTCTACATGGGTACTAGGAATCAAACCGAGGTTCTCTGCAAGAGCAACACCTTCTTTTCACCACTAAACCATATCTCCAGCCCCATTTATCTCTATGCTTTATTTAGAAGAAAATTTAATATCTGCTCTAAATTTATATGTATTTTAGTCAGTAGTTTGAAATTTTGACAAAGTCATTTGTCCAATTTAAGGATAATGACTCATCATAGTGATTAATTATTAAGGCACACATCAATGGTCCCCTGTAACACACATAGGATATATCATAATGTTTGACATTATACTGACACATTGTATACTTCAAAAGATACATCAGTTATGATCCCACACTCAAAGCCTAAGGGGGAAATTAAACTTTAGACCTTAGCTTCATAATCAAATCTAGACAAGAAACTTAAGAGTTTGAATGTGGTTATGAAATATTAGCAGATTTGTAGTTAAAATTACCCAGCCAAATTTGGCCATTTACACTAGCAAATTTAGCGCCAAGGACAACACATTGAGTTTTTCTCTAAAGTTCCTCATACATATTATGTATAGAATTTAACACATTAAATCTTGGTTTTATAGAACAAAAGGCTTATGAATCTTGGGAAGTATATATAAAGAAATGAGAGGCCAGTATGATGACCTGATTCACCCAAGTTAACAAAGAAAAATTGGTGCAGCTATAACTCCTGGCCACCACCACCATAATATTTATGTCATTCTGTAATTCATTTGTCCTGTCTGTCTGCACAGAATAGTGACCTCACTGAAGGTTACATATCATTGTGTCCTTGTTATCAATGTCCATTGCATGCAATTATACCAGGCCCTATTGCTTTAACTTTTCACATACCCACATGGCTTCCTTTTGAATCAACAGGATATTGACACATCTGGAGGGTGAACAATCCACACTATTGTTTATTTTCTCAGGTCTGCATTCCCATGAAGTGATGAGAACATATGTAGCATAGCATGAGGGAAGCTGACCATGAGATGCCGTTTACCAAGGGTACCAGTTGTGTAAGCTGAGGTGAAGCACATCTATAGGAGTCCAGTTTAGACCAAGAGAAACCAGATCAAGCAGCCTCAACCCCGCAGCTTCATGAACCAATTAAATGTGATTTGAACTGTATGCCCTGAGCATTTTCCAGCTAGTCAAGGAACATCGTGTGGTGATGACTGTTTCATCCTAAAAATCTATCCCAGACACTGTTGTGTGGCAAAGCAAATATATGACAGCCTCAGACTGTCAAATACAACGTCTCAATATGTTTATGTAGAGGATTAAAATAATGCGGCGAGTCATTTATAGATAATTCTCAAGTCCTTTTTCTAAAATCAAAGGATGGAAGCTTGGTAATACTGCCAGGGATTTCTCAAAGGACCATTTGAGTTTTGATAGTAAATGCAACTATTTAGCATCATACGGCTTACATTCAATTCACTCACAAGCTACAAAATATACACTCATGGCATATTATGAAATTTTAAATCTGTGTCAAGGCAGTATCATCACACAGTTTTTGAAACGATGAAGATTCAATATCTGCATAGCCTCTTGATTTATAATTACATGCTTTTGGAAAATATATTAATGCCAAGATAGATGTTAAATCATAGTTTCTCAGTAGTGAAAAATAAACTAGATTAATAGAAAAAATAGTTTAATGACTTTCTTCATACCAAATTCAACTGGTAATTTGAAAACATAGAGGGACGCCTGGGATGACAGTGGATAAAGGCACTTGTTGCCAAACGTGATGACCTGGGTTTGGTCCCTGGGATCCACAAGTTTTATTGGACGACTTTACATTTGACTCATTCACAAACCATAAACAACTAAGAAAACTGAACTCTGTTCCTCTGGCCTCCATGTGTGCACTGTGTATATTCCATTCCCGCTCCTTCTCTGGTACCCATACAATACAAAATGAAACAAAACATATCTCCAATGCTTTAAGCAAACGAATAAATAAAAATGATGGTGAGAATCTAGCAGTTTGTGAAAAATTATGAATAATATACTATACTCCAATGATGGAGGACAGTCTTCTGTTTTGCGTTAATTTCATTGGTTAAATAAAGAGACTGCCTTGGCCCTTTAATAGGACTTAAAATTAGGTAGGCGGAGTAGACAGAACAGAATGCTGGGAGAAAGAAGCCCAGTCAGCAGTTGCCATGATTCTCCCACTCCAGACAGACGCAAGTTAAGATCTTCCCTGGTAAGCCACCTAGTCGGCTACACAGATTATGAGAAATGGGTTAGATCAATATGTAAGAGCTAGCGAATAAGAGGCTGGAACTAATGGGCCAGGAAATGTTTAAAAGAATATAGTTTCCGTGTAATTATTTCGGGGCATAAGCTAGCCATATGGGCGGCCAGGTGCCAGGGATGCAGCCCGGCTGCTCCTAATACAAGACTCCAAATTCTAAAGAAGAAACTTTAGACATTCTTAATTTGAGACATTTGTCAGGAAGTCACAGCACATAAAAATAGTCACCTGATCATGATGGTCTAGTGTTTATAAAAAAAAAAAAACCACCTGCATTTCTTGATGCAAACAGTTGTAGAAGCAAATATTTTAGAAACACAATAGCATTTCACAAATTAATAACTTTCTACTGAAAGAACTTCCTAAATAAAGTCTCCTCTAGTAGAGCCCTGTGGGGTTTTCCAAGGCTTTACTTTACTCATAACTAGGTCCTGACCCCAGTCCCCAACCTCAAACAAAGGAGCTGCATGTCCCATAAGTCACTAACCCAATCCCATCTTCTCATCCCTTTTTCCTGAGTTCGTATTATCAGGAGTCTGGGTTCCCATATCTTAAATTACAATTTATTTTCTGCTACAATAAAATTCCCACAGTGATTTCTCCATTGCCCAGTTGCCATCTGTCAGCTTTCAGTTCTCTCATTTCCCAAGTCCCCTCTTATGGTTCTCAAATGCTTCTACTCTGAATTTCCCTTTCGCTTCACGGATCACAGACTTCACTCTGCTACATATTCAGCTTTCATTTAGAGCACAGCTTCTATCTTCGTGTGTTGACTAGAAGGGCCACTGGAGACCCACTTACTCTGTAAATGGTGATAGCTGTATTCCAGTTATCCCTGGGTTGATGGTCCACTTCCCCTGAATTCTGGGCACCGCATCCTTACTTCCTACTGCTTTTGTGCTTACCATCTCGTTATATACTATATCTCTTATTGTTGCTATTACTTGTCTGCTAACCTGTGGTTAACACGAATCCTGGACTGATGTTGTCTCATCCAGTCTTAGTGTGGAGAAAATTCTGAGTAATAGTCACATCTAGGAAAACTCCTCGTTTAACATCCCAACTGTATCTCTACGTTAAAATCAAACTTTTCTCTGCCTCAGGCATTCACTTTATCCATCAAATATGTATTTCAAATTCTGAACTTTTAAGCTTGCTAATTATTGTAGTTATTAAAGATATGATTATATATTATCCTATATATCTCTAATTCAATACCCACTGGTCTACAAGTGAAAATTATGGTCATGTTAGGTAAAGTGAGAATCAAGAACTGAGTGTGAACACCGAACCTTGGGCTTTGAGAGAATTGCCTGATAACTGACATAAAATGGGGTCGCTGGTTGGCACTGCTTGGATATCAAACCTTTGAACTGAAGGTGGAAACTGATAAAATTTGTGCAAAGAGTTGGTGAACTGGCACAGATTTGGAATGTCATGCATCCGGTCTGTGTTACAACTCTTTGTTACACAATCAAAAGAAATAATTTGTTCTGAGGGATTTCCAATGAACTGGTCATAAAAAATCCTGACCAATGATATTAAAGGACCATTGCATTACTTTTGATGCTATTCTTCTTATGCTTTAAACACAAATTCTTAGTTTTAATTGTGTATGTGTCAGCAGGTTGTATATCCATGCCATAATATCGGGGGACAGAAGGGAACACCCTGATTAGACATCTTACTTTGTAAAAGAACAATCCTTTCCAAACTGATTTGTTTTTTTAAAAAAAAAATCAGCTCCTCAATGTTCCTAAAACAGTGCTCTGCCCCAACATCTAAACTATTTCTCTTCAGAAAGTCAGTTTAACTGGTAACTCAGAGGAAATGTCCAGCATTATTCAGGGATTTCTTAGCTAACTTTCTTCCTGTGGTTTCTCAGCTTTTGTGCTCTCATAGAGTGTAACCACCGTCCTGAGAAATCCTAGGTTTGCTACAGTAACACTAATTCTGGGACTGAGCACTACATGCTCCCAGAACACCCACAGGAGACTGAAGCTAACAGTTCATGTCCCGACTGCCACAGAGTTCTCGAGAAGTAGATGCAGGCCTTGGAACAGACTTCCTTCACTCTCTGTATGTGAGGGCTTCTTTTGGTTTCCCTTATGTTTTGAATGGTGATAATAATTTAATGATAAATGATATTATTATTTTTTTTAAAAATGCTAGTAAGAATACGGAAGTCTTAAGAGTAATTTTTCTTCTTTGTCATGTGCCTTTATTTGTGTGTTCTCTTTGGTAACATGGC